ACCTGCGTGGCGGGGGAAAAGTTAGATCGTGTTTGCCGGCGGCGTGACTTGTTTACGATTGGCGCTGTGTACATTTCTCACCTGTATACTTGGAAATAAAACGAGAGCCATGCAGGCCGAGCTGATTAATGCGCATATTCCGCCCCATTGTACGTCTCAGCCAGACTCCGACTGCGGCAATCAATTCAATCAGCGGCGCTTATGAAGCCATTACAATCTGGCTGAGAGCAGGCGGGGGCCGCATCCTTCCATTGGCCTCCCAGTAATTACTGTTTAGGCAAAAAGGGATGGATGGAGGGATGGATGGAGGGATAGACTAATAAAACACATCCCTAATGACTCGCATGTGACTATGAATATGCATCGTCTGGGCGGTAAAGTGTGGGTGTTGTGATGTTTACAACCCCTGACCTGGGACTGCCAGAAGATGTTTACTGCTTGGTTTTACCCCTCCGGCGTCCATCTTTGAGGCGCAGAAATTACATTTTAATATGGTTTCTTATGAGAAACGCAAAAAATAAAAGTAAAAATTAAAACCAAGCAGAGGATTTAATGAAATTTAGTTTTTTGGCCTCAGTTCGTTGCACCAGATTCCTGGAATTTTAAAAACATCAACTTCAGGAGTCAAAAGAATAAAGTAATGTAAGAATAATGTGGTAGTTTTAACAGAATAAAGTCAAAGGAATGCAGCAATAACGTATTTAAAAGAATAAAGTAGTGGAAATGTGAGAGTAAAGTCATAATAATACAAAAATAAGTAATAATATGACATAACAGTAATATTGCGTAGTAATGAGAACAAAGTTATAATATTAGGAGAATAAAGTCGTAATATCACAAAAATAAAGTCTTAATAATGCGAGAACAGTTATATTATTAGAATGAAGTAAAATAATACACAAATAAACTTATACAATAGTTTTCTAGTTGTAACTGTATAATATTTATCAGTTTAATCCAAAAAATATGTTTTTTGGTTGAAATATATCTTCAGACTCCATACATATATATTTAACTCCTTCATATTTTAAAACCTAATCAGCTTAAAAGGACTTTGTGTTGCTAAAAAACTATTTTCAGTTTTAGAAATAAAACTTAGCGACTCCAACAGAAAGTGATCAGAAATGAAACAGAAGATAAACGCAGCTGGTTTTGTTTGGATGATTTGCGGCTCTTTTCTGCCCCCTGCTGTCGACAAAATGTAATTTTAGTCATAGTTATTTCCTCTCCTGCAAAATTTATGGGAAAAAAAAGATATTTTTATCTGCAGCAGTGCAATCTCACTGAGCAGGAAAACCCAACCTTTAATTCAGTTAATCACAACGTTTTTTCTTTACAAAAAATGCAATGTTAGTTTAATCACAGAGACATTCTAGCTGATTCTGGTTATCAATCAAATATATATTAAAAAATAAAATTTACTTTGTGAATTTTTATGCAGCAAATAAAAACAGGACACGATTCATATGCATATGGATGTATTTTAATAAAAATAATTCTGTCACAATTAAACAGAATACATTATTTATCTTTAAACATGTTTCCAATACTTTTTTTTTACAATTATCATTTTTCCTTTTTTATTGTTTTAAAGTTTTTAAAGTCATGCTAAGTAGATAATAACTCATTTCACAATGTTTTTTTTCTCTTTTTTTCTTTCTGTTTTTTTTTTTTTTTTTTGCATTTTTTATATATTTAGGTAAAACTCAAAAGTCTCCCCCCAAGAAATAAAAACAAAATGAAGGTAGAAGTCATTTGTGCATCGCTCGTCTGCATGGTCAGATCAGTTTGAGCACGGAGGGGAGGACAGAGGTCAGAGGTCAAACTGAGGAAGGCGAAGTGAACCTCATGCTTTGCTTTTAAATAAAAACAGGAACAGATGAGAGGCTGAAATCACATTTTTGTGTTTTACTACCTACTTGAACATTTAAGGAAGCCTAACATAACGGATTACTTTGGATCTTTGAAGTGAAGTTCTCTAATCTGGATTATTACTACAGTAAATTCAGATGGAGGAACCAGATTAGGGCTGAGCAATAAACTCTCATTTCATCATACCGGATCTGATTTTCCAAAAATTCGATTGATTAAATAGATTTTTCGCTCAACACCAGAGGAAAGCTAACAGTCTTTGGCTTCAAACTGATGTAAAATTATCTGATTATCACCCACTGATAGCCTCGTTTTTAACAGCCAAATTCAGCATAAATATCACAATAACTGCACGGTAATGCTTTAGAGAGTTCAGTTTTAATCCAGAGAAAAAGCCTGTTGATGCATATTTCACACACACCAAATATTGCATTTAAAAGACATGTTTTCTACTTTTTATTGGAGAAATTTTGAATTTTTGCTGTTTGGTGTTCCATATGAAGCTACAATAGACATGGAGTTTGAAACAACTGAAAATAATTCCTAATTGTTTTCATGTTCAACTAAGTTTCTACTTGCAGCACAAATCTGTTGAAAATTAGCTAAATACATTTTTTAAATATAGTTTTTCGTCAGTGTTTTGGCACCTGTGACAGGAAGTGTTGGGTTGCGAATTTTCTTCACTCTCCAAAACAATAATAACGTACTAATAGGTCTGAGACAATGTAAACCACAGGTGTCCAAAGTGTGGCCCATGGGCCATTAGTGGCACTTGAAATGATTTTGTTTGGCCCCTGACCACAAGGTCAGGAATAGTGAAAATATGGCCGACAAAATAGAAAACGATGGATGGGTAATTGTCTGGTTTTCTTTTAGTAATGCAACAGTCCAAAGCCCTTTTATTACATCAAGATTAAAAATCACAAACTAATTTTTGGATCTTTCATTTAATGAATTTTGTGGGTTGCCAGAAATTTAAAGAGTTTGGGGCCAAAAGTTGGACATCACTAATGTAAAACAAACAATTTAATTCATTATAGAGAGTTATCACCCACTAATATCGCATAATAAAGCTAAAATAATCTCCAAACACGACATCCAACTTCTGAAGATCCAACTAAGCTCAAACTTGAGATGAATTTAAGCTCAAAATTAATTTAAAGGTGGAGTGTGCAGGTTAATCTGGATTATCTCTCTGCTTTGATTTATTCAAATTGGATTAAAAAATATCACAATAAATTAATTTTTGCATCTTTAATTTAAGTAATTTTGTGCCCCCCCAGTTTTTTGCCCAGTTTTGTGACCCTGGGCAAAAAATGTGGATATTACTGATGTAAACAAAATCATTTATTAAATATAGAGGATTATCACCTGCTAATATAATAAACCTGCTGTATAATGAAGCTAAAATGAGGGTCTCATTGTTGTTTGATGAAATTCAGATTGCTTAAGTAAGGTACTGACTGTTAATAGCTACTCCACTGAACCAAAAAGATCAGGAGATCCAAAAAGCTCAAACTGGAGGTGAATTTAAACTCACAAACCAACGTAATCTGGATTATCTCTCTGCTTTGTTGACTCTGAAACAGGAAGTGGAGGAAAATCTTGTTAGTAAACACGCAGAGGAGGAAAACTTTCATCTTATTGCACAGAAATCGAGCTGAACTCTGGAACAAAAGGCTGGTGAAAGAAAGGCTGCGGTTTAATCATCACAAAGTGCACCTTAAAATTACAGGCTTCCCTGTTTGTCACATGATTTCACCTCTTTATTTGAAGCTCTAGCTGCGACTGCAGGAGCACACAGCGGGTCAGAGTGTGGAGGGGGGAAAGCGAAGCCTGCGGTAATGAAACTCGACTTTCCGACGTGCGCACACTGTGCTTGTTAGCCGGCCTTTGATACTGATTTTCTTTATGCTGATAATAGAGTAGGACTTGGCCCCGAGGGCAGGTGTCGCAGGTGCAGCGGGGATTGGCGCCGCCACCTGCAACCACCTCTCTGATTGGCCGGTGCGGCGCTTGTTACAGTGAAATTAAGGCTGCGACACCTCTCTGCTCCTGGTTAGCGATCGGCGCCGCGGAGGACCTTCAATTATGTTTTCTGAACATGGCTGATGTTCTTTTTCCTGTTTTTCTGGGAAAGTTTTCAGGAATATTACATTAGCTTTAATCAGAAACAACAGCCAGGGTTTAGTGCGCTTTTATTTCTAACTTGTGGGGGATAATTTCTCCAGCTAACGAGGGGAAAGTTTCACAGACTTGATTTCTGCTGTGCTTTTATTAAACATCAGAAGCTGAAAAATAACGGATTTATTTCTCAAAATAATGATACAATAAAGCAACTGCTGAGATTTTTTTTGAAGACTTAGAAATGTGCCAGGCTTTCCTTGAATAATTGAATGTTATAACTTTCTGAAAAGAAAAATCAAATTTTTAGATATAAAAACGGCATTTTTCCCTCTGCTATGCTGTTTCATTTAACTAAATAATTTACATTTTAACTGTAAAAATGCCGCTGGTATGAGAACCCAGGGAGAAAAATGATTTTTAGTTCAAATGAGACAAAAACTGAGTGGTTTCACTCCTCCTTGCTTCTTTGCAACTGTGTTACAAAGAAGCAAGGAGGAGGAAGCATCATGCTGCGGGGTCTGGAAATGTTATGTCATTTATGATGCATTTATTTATTGTTTTTGATGATCTATTGAAATTATCCGAGATGATAATGCAACAAAGCAACTGCAGTGATTTTTAAAAACAAGATTTAAAACTTTAAACGTCCAAAAGAAGATTTAGAAAATAGCCAGACTTTCACTGAATCTTTGAATTTTATATGAAAAAACAATGGTATTTTTCATAAATTAAGCTAAATAATTTACATTTTATCGCTTTTTAGCGCAATAAAATGAGACAAAAACTGAGCGGAAAGCATGATGCTGTGGAGCCTGGAAATGTTTGAGTTATTATTAAAAGAAGAATTTTCATCAAAAAAGAGACTTAAAAAAAATCACAATGGCAGAAAATATATATTTTTAGGTTTGCATTGCTAAAAAAGCTGCAATTAGCCAATTTATTTGTTTAAGGCCTGTGTGCATAATTTTGACCCAATGTTAATTAAACATGTTTTAACTTTGTTAAATTCATGTTTCTCAAATGTATCACTGTTTGCAGTAAAATCCAGATGAAATTAATCGCTACAAGCTCATTTTTACGTTGCTCAGCATTTAAAGCTCGTCCGGTTCGGGTTGAATTATTTCTGGTTCTTATGGGTTCTGGTTCTGGTTCTGAAAGATCCGGGAAAACAGAAACAACAAAACCGACGACAGGAATTGAAGTCCAACCATTACAGTAAAAGAAAATAACAATACTAATAAAATAAAAAAGGGGGGAATATGATTAGTTTGTCCAGGATGAGCACAACAAACTGACAAAAATACTAAAAAAAACAAACAAAACAAAAAAACGGCTAAATAAACTGAATAATAATAATAATAATATTTAAATAGTGTCACACATTTATTAAATCTGATAATACTAAATTAAATAGGAAGCCTCCTTCCCTTCTCTTCTCTGATCCAATCAGACGCATGCTCGCCTCTTCGTCACCATGGCAACGACCAGCTAGACATCTCAGTGCTGCTCAGCAGTTACCTGAGGATAGACAGGTTCAGGTAAAGGTTCAGGTGAGGTCTGGAGCGGATCCAGGCTGGATTTTCATGTTTGTATGTTGGTTTGTTTCTGGAGGTTCTGCTCACCTGACCGGGTCGGGGGGGGGGGCGGGGCTAGTGCAAAAAGTTGTCTATCCTGGCGAAGGAGCAGGAACCGGACCGGACCCGGGCCATGAGCTGGACGCACTCGGTGGCCTGGCCCAGCGCCAGCATCAGCGGCGGCTGCTTGGGGAGGTTCTGGGATTCTGGACGGGAAGTTTTGTTTATTTAAACGCTTTCTGAGCTGCTAAAGTCAGAAACTGAAAACAAGTTAATAAACAGTAGATTTTATTTATTTACATGACTTAATATCTGCTTATTTGATGCATTTATTACTTTTCCAATTCAGCTTAAAAATGTAACAGTTTAAGTTTATTTTTATGAGCCTTTTATTTTTATGCATCTTGATTTTGATTGTTTTTGTTTTTAAGTTTTAATTTTTCCTTCAAATATTAAAATATTAGAGAAAACAAAAAACAAAAAAATTACACTGTAAAAATAATAGAGTTAAAACTAAAATAAAAAACAGTGATGAGAATTTATTTATATAATCTTAATTTGGGTGTTTATATCTAAATAACTTAAAATATAACAGTAGTAGTAATGAGAGTAATCATTATCATTGATAATATAATGAATAATTGTGAAAAACACAATTAATATTATTTTGACTATTACTTTAATTTTTATTAAGATTATTATTATTATAACAATTATATTACAATAATAAAATAATTATTCTTATAGCAATATATATTATTGATATGACATTAATAATAAATATTATTATGTTATTACATTAATATCATTAATAATATTTAATATTAAATTACTACATGACTAAATAAAATATTTATTATTACTACTTAATATTATTCAGTAACAGCAACAACAACAATAATAATAATAATAATAGTATTACAACTACCACCATCATTAGTTATTGTTATTCATAATTAAAATAAAAACAATAAATTAATATTATTTCAATTAAAACAATTAAACAAGCACTAACGTTACTAAATATTAAGGTTTTGGCTCATTTTATTTTCAATTAACCTAATTTAATACAATTTAAGAAAAATAATTTACAATAGGTTTTTCCTGTTTAATTAAATTTACTTTTTCTTTGACATTTTTGTTTTAATTTTAACCAAGAAGATCAAATTAAAAGGTACAAGGATGAAAGTAATCTTCACACATTTAAATGTGTACTTAAAATGTTGATAAATTGTAAAATAAATAAAAGTAAACTCAGAAAAATTTGATAAAAAAAAGAAAAAAGAAAAAGAAACATTGAGCTGCATCATAACTGCTGATAAAAATAAAAAAATGCTGTGAATTTAAACTGATTGTTTACCCAGAATGGCGCTGTTAAGAGCGGAGCAGAGCGACTCTCGCTGCGTGGGGTCCAACTGCTGGCCCACCGGGCAATTCCAGGGGTCCGAGTACGCCAGCAGGCTGAATGCATCCTACACACACACACACACACACACACACACACACACACACACACACACACACACACAGAAAGAGAGGGCGATCAATCACAGCGGCTGAATTCGTCTGCAGGTGGCATCAAGCAGATTTATTTAGTTTCATTTCCTCATTAAATCAACATGTTTGCCTCCTCTCTCCTGATTGGCTCCTTCGATTAGACCAGTAGCCAATCAGCTCTCATAATGAAAGATTTTTAAAGTCCAACATTTTTCTTCATTTCAACAGGAAGCAGTTTTTGTTCATGTTGCAGGATATAATATGAATTTAAAATAATAGATGTTTTCATGTTTTAGGCGTTTTTATAGTTTTTGTTTCAGAGTCAACTGAGACCCCTAGTGGTGAAAACAAGTCATAACACCACGATGAGACACTATTGGTTCACTTAGACAGCAGTTCAACATTATTCCTGTATGACTGAGCAGTTTATTCTTTATTTAGCTCATTTCATAAATCAACTTGTTCAAAAAAAACCCTTCAAAATCACTTATTTAAGCTCTCACAAAAACATGAAGGGGAAACACTTTTGAACATCTTGTAAAACTAATGTTTTACTGAGCCACAGCAGTTTGATTCGTTTGTATATTGAAGTATTTTTATTTACGCATGGTAACTGATTTCAAATTGTTTTTGTTGGCCAAACTTAGTGTGCATTTAAATTTATTCAGCTACAGATATATTTAAATACATTTACATTTATTTATACATAGGTAAATAAATATTAAATGCAATCCTATTAAATAAATCTATAACGTGATTTTGCATATATTAATATTTTTTTATTCTAGTGAAAGGAAACGTTAAAGGAAAGCGAAAAGGATGGGACAAGCTAAAAAATATTTAGTTTTGAAATTACATATTTGTTTGGCCAAATAAAATACTTAGAAAAGCAAAAAACGTTGAATATCATGATTCAGGTATTTAATAAATATATTGTGATATTATTTTTTGTCAGTATCACCCATCTCTAAGGAGACAAGTTCTATTTAACCACAGCAGTTTATTTCATTTGTGTATTTAAATATTTTTATTTAACTAAATTAGTCTGAATTTATATTTATTTATCCATTTTACCTTTTCTGTGGCACACAAAACGCATTCTGTTATTTTGTAAATATTTACATGTATAACTATTTGTGAATAGTAACTATTTGTGAAGTAAAAAAAAAGTATAATTTGAAGTTACATATTGTCACTTTCCTAACATATTGGCCTAAATCACTTTTTGATGATTTAGGTAAAAAAAAAAAAAAAAACACACACAAGAAAAAGCAGAAAATGTGGAGTATGTGTTGTGATCTTATTATTTGTCAGTAAAAAAGGTAAAGGTGGGTTTCTGCAGGTGGGTTACCTGTAACATCTTCTTGTGCGTGGTGTTGGTGCCGTAGTCGTGGCTCAGCTGTTCGCTGAGCGCCTGCAGCTCCCGTCCGAACTGGATCATCCTCTCTGTGGCCGCCTGGTTCCCCCCACACAGCTGCTTGCTGCTCCTGCGGCCCTTGTCTGCAGACGACATGCAATGATTTCAGTAATCCATTAATTTATCAGTTACTCCGACAATTAAACAATCAATCAGATTAAAAAAAAATAAAAATAATCGGCACATTCTGCAGATTTTTCATTAGTTTTTTTGTATTTTAAATTGTTCCGTTTTCTTGAAGTTTATTATTTCTACTGTAAATATTGATTTTAATTAACTGTTTTTGTTTTTCATTTTTTATATTTGAATCTATCAAAGAGTGAGGTGACACTACATGGATAAAACCACAAAAGGCAAAATTGTCAGACTTTGTAAATATTACAGTGAAAACAAAACAAAATCCAAACAACAATGATGAGAAGTTTCTATCATTTTAACTTTGGTGTTTATGTTTGAATGATTCAACATATAACAGCAGCATTAAGGACTTAATTACTGAATTTTTTGTTTGTCTACTCCAGTCAATGATTAATCGATTACTAAATTAGTTGACAGTTGTTTAAATGTTCCAGCCTTGAAGCACTACATGTGCCTGCTGCAGAAAACACCCAGGATGCCATGAGGAGGCGTGTTTCTTTGACCTGTGACCCCGTTGCAGATGCTGTTGTCGTCGGGCTGCAGGATCTCTTCATGTCGGTACGTGCCGTTCATGATCCGCGCCGAAGAGCCGTCCACCACGCCGTTGGTGTAATGCTCCGCCTCGATCTCCATCTCACTGTCGCTGGCACAAACGCAAACAAATCATTGTTAAAACAATGAGTTTGTTAAAGACAACAGGAATTAACTGGAAATTGTTTACAGTTAACCATTAGAGGCCTTAAGACTCAGTCGAGTAACAAATAACCCGAATAGATTCACAAAACAACGTTTAATTTTTAATGAATATCTATGAAATGATATTTTTTAAGTCAAGTTTATTTGTGTAGAACATTTCAGCGATTCAAAGTGTTTTCCATGACAATAGTATGAAACAACAAACAGCAAGAAACACACTCTGCAAAAACACAAAATCTGACCAAGTAATTTTCCTCTAGTTTCTAATGCAAATCTCTTGGTAAACTTGAAATAAGACAAACTAACGTAAAAGTAACTTTACAGCAAGAACCAGGAGTTTGTTCTGAGTCAATAATTCCTTAATATTGATGAAAAAGTTCTAGTTCCACTGGTAGATTATTTCACTTAAAACATGGGAAAAATTGTTATAAGTGAAATAATCTGACAGTGGAACTAACAGTTTTTGCACAAACGCAGCACAAATATTTGACACCAAATTTGTCTGAGTTGAATCATGTGGGGTTGGCGTTGATGGACATTTTGACCTTTAAACTTTCATTAAAATCTTCAAAGGAAAAGCAGCACAAAAAAATCTTGCTGCATAAACGCAGCCAAGTTGATTAGCACCAATTTTGCCTGATATGAAGACCTTTCATGATCTTTAAGATCACAAACAAACATTTGTGCTGCACAAATGTAGCACAAATATTTGACAACAATTTTGTTGGATCTGAAGACGTTGAGGCGTCATACATCATGCAGGTGTCTTCTCCAAAGGTTTTCGTTGGGAAAAGATTTTTTAAATATGAACAAGAATCAAAAATCTGACATTTTATGTCCACATGTGTTTGAACGTCTTCCTACCTGGTTTCCTGGTTGCTGTTGGCGCTGTGTGGCTGGCTCTTGGTGGAGTCGGAGGAGTTGGATTCGGAGTAGTTTATGGAGGACGGGGAGGAGGAGCTGGATGAGGAGGTGGAGGAGGCGCTCGGGTATTTGATGCTGCTGCCGCCGTGAACCTTCGCCTTGTTGGGCGGGGCGACGCCGTTACTGCAGGTGGGGCTTTCCGCTCCTGTTGGGAGGCAGAAACAGGTTCTCTCAGCGCCCTGTCAGTGTGTGGGTGTGTGTTGGTGTGTGTGTTTCGTACCTCCACTGTGGACGTGCGTGCCGCTGGCGGCGTGCCGCGGGCTGAGGTTTGGGGAGCCGGGGTAACTGTCCTGGGACTTTGGGGAGCGAACCGTCAGGCAGCGAACCTCGCTGTCCGTCCCGTTCACCATTTCCACGAACTGCCGACACCTGCAGGGAACTGGGCTTACTGGTTGTACTGGGATTTTACAAATTGATTTTATTGATTAATCTAATTTTTGGTTTATGAATTTTCACCAATGCATTGATTGGGTTTCTATAGTTCAGAGTGATGTCAGCACACTCAGGGCAGCCATCTTGTTTTACTGCTTCTGTTTATCTGGACTTGTATTCAGGTCAACGCTATGATGGAATAATAGGAAAACTACTAATACTATATTATTATTTTATCACAATAATAGAGTCACAGCATAAAAGGAATACAGTCATACGACAATAAAGTCAAAATAATACAAAACAATCCCTTGCATACAACTTATACAGGGGATAATTGGAATAAAAGGAACTTTTGGAAAAGATTTTCTGTGATTTGTAATTTCTTTTTTCAAAAGAAAGTGAAACAAAAAAAGCGATTAAAATCAGAAATCTGAGTGTGCTGCGGTGGTGCAGGGGTTAAGCACAGTCCACATATGGAGGCCTCAGTCCTCGACGTGGCCGTTGCAGGTTCGATTCCCGGCCTGGCGACCTTTGCCGCATGTCTTCCCCTTCTCTCATGACCCACTTTCCTGTCAGCTAACTATCAAATAAAGGCCACCAGAGCCGATAAAACCTTTAAAAAAAGAAATCTGAGATTTTATTTTCCTGCCGTGTCGTCCAGCCGCAGCTGCAGCTGGGAGCAGACTTACTTCAACATGAAGAGCAGGTTCGGGTTACGTTCCAGCAGACCTGGGTAGAGCTGCTGGGTGGCGTCGATGGCTTCACCGACCCGACCCGCCAGAACCAGCTTCTGTATTCCTGCAGAACAGAGCTGATGTTCACACAGGAACCGAGATGGAGGCTCACGCAGCTGGACGATTCACTCACTCTGCCGGTTCTTTATAGACGTCTGGTCCTCCTGTATCGTGGTCTCTGTGGCTCTGGCAAACGCTGTCGCAGTCGCACAATACCCATGATGCACCAGGTAGCTGGACACCATGCTGAACACAGCAGAGGAAAATACGCTTTGATTTACAAAACAGAGCGCCATTGTCTAATGCAAAAACTCTATACAACCAATGCTAGTCATCATTGGTTAGACGTTTTTTGCCCTCCAGCAGGGAAGTCATGTTGCAACGTGTCTAAAAGAACAGGATTAATCTAATTTTGAGTGACTTTCTTACTTCTGCAGGACGGCCTGCCACTCCCCCAGCCGCTCGCCGATCGGGAAGCTGGTGATCATCCCGTGAATCTTCGCCCGCCATTCGCTCATGTAGTCCTCGATGTCGAAGACGAACGGCTGCTGGCCAAAGTTGGCGTCGACGATCTCTCCAGGCGTCTGGAGCCCCACGGTGGGGTACAGGTTGGGCTGGGAGAGATTCAGACAACAATCAGACTTTACTAGATAAATAAAATACCAAACTGCATCAGGATGCTGAGATTGTCCCTATTTTAACAGCGTTGTTGTTCCAGGAAACACAACAATTCCCTGCCAGATCTTGTCTAGCAGCGAATATTCACTGAATCTCAAAGATGACTGACATAATCCCTAAAAGCTGAATTAATCCTGCAACTTTTCTCCACCAGCCACAATGTTGCTACTGCAACACGGACAGCGTCTGCACTAGTATGTAGCATATGAGAGGTTTCTGCACCTCTACCATCAGATTTGCTGCTGAGGAAAGAAAGAACAATAATAAGATGGAGAAAGACTTAAAGAGAGGGAAAAAAAAGAAAAATGAATGAAAAAAAAGAACCAGAGTGAAAGTAAGAGAAAGAAAGAGAAACAGAGAAAAAAAGGTAAAGAGAAATAAATAAAAAGTAAAATAACATAAGAGAAATAAAGAGCAAAAGCAAGAGTGAAAGAGTGGAAGAAAGAAAGTAAAAGAATGTAAGAATGAAAGACAGAGCAAAAGAAAAAGTGAAAGAGAAAGTGAAAGAAAAAGCATAAGATTTTAGTAACAAAACAGAAAAGTAAGCAAAAGAAAGAGGAAAATGTCAAAGAGGAAGAGCAGAAAAAGAGCAAGAGCAAGAGTGAAAGAAATTCAAAAGACAGAAAGAAAAGAAAACAAAAGAGGACAAAAAATAAGCAAAATAAAAGAGAAAAAAGTTTAAAAATTGAAAGAGCAAAAGAATAAAAAGCCAAATAAAAGTATAAGAGAGCAAAACCACAAATGAAAAAGCAAAAGAAAGAGGAAAAAAGAGAGAGAGAAAGAGAGAAGAACAGATATATATATATAGAGAGAGTGTTTGAGAGAGAGAGCGAGAGACAGAGAGAGAGAGAGAGAGAGAGACAGAGAGGGTGAAACAAAGAAAGAAACTGAAGGAGTGAAGATCTGGAAATCTTTTCTGTATTTCTCCAGCTTTTAGGAATCTTGCATTCTTCACATTAAACTCCTGCAACATCAAACCAGAGAAGAAGAGTGCAGCAGGAGCTGATTGGCCGATATACTCACAGGAAGGTCCGTGAAGGCAACACCTGCGGGAACAAAGCAGAGGAATCGGTGAGAAACTCGGACATGGCGCCACGCCGCCACGCCGCCACGCGAGCGACAAACCTAGGCTGATGCCGTTCTTGGTGTAGAAGCAGGTGTTGTTGATCAGGTTGACGCAGCAGCCAATCACGTCGCCTGTGGTGAACGTCGGCCCGTATGGCTGGCCCGTCCCGGAGGAGCAGAACGAGTGGCCGTCGTCGCCGTGGTAACCATACGAGTGCTTGTCCCATCCTGAAGAAGAGGAGGAAGACGAGGATCAGATTTTACACTTTGGAGCCCAACAGCAGGCGGAAGAGGAGGAAGAGGAGTGAGGAGGAAGAGGAGTAAGGAGGAAGAGGAGGCAGGTTACTCATCAACTTGGATTTTTATCAAATTGGTGCTGAAATTTCACACAAACTCTCTACCAGCTTGCAGTTCACTGGACGGCCAGCAGGGGGCCAGAAAAAAACTGGTGAGTCGCTACTGACAGGAGTAACAAAAACCAGAACCAGAACCAGAACCAAGAACCAGAACTAAGAACCAGAATCAGGAGAAAGCTTTTAGCTCGTCACTGTTTAAATGCTTTTTTCCACTGATGTTTTTGTAAATATTATCTGTCGTGCAATTGAAATAAATTTGAAAACAGAAAGAGTGAAACTAGTTTTCATTGTTTTTTTTCTCTTTTGTTATTTTTTGCTTTCCTTTGCTCTTTTGCTGGTGATTTTTTAAAAAGTTTTTTCTTTTTTCCACTCTTGCTCTTTTCACTCTTTTTCTCTAAATTTTCTTCATTCAGTTTTTTGTTTCTTTCCTTAGATCTTTCTTTTTGTTTCTTTTGATCTCTTCTTTTAATAGTTTATTTTATCTCTTTTTTGCTCTTTTTTTTCCACTCCTTACTTAAAATTTAAATTTTTATATGTTGAATGGTAAACATTGTATAAAATATCTTTTCAAGGGTTCAATAAGGGAAAGTTTAGTGGAAGGATAGAGGCTGTTTGGAAAGAGTGAGTGTTAACAGTTTTGTGTCTAAGATTAAAAAGAGATGCAACTGAATTATGTCCTTTTTGTCAGGAAATAGAAACAACTTTTCATTTGTTTCTCGAATGTAAGCGACTTGCATCATTGTTTATTTTGTTTGATGTTTTTTAAAACTGTGGACTGAAGTGGCTTTTATATTTCATGCAGGCTAGACAAAAAAGAATCTGCAAAGTGGAAATTGTTACATTCTTTGAAAGGAAAGCAAACATTTTTCTTCAGACAAGCAGAAAAAGTAAGATAAACAATCCTGCCGGGGGAAAAGTTGACACAGTGTTCACTTTGATGATTAAAAATAGAGTAAAAGCTGATTTTCAGTTTTTTTCAGTAATGACAATTTTTCTCTCTGATGTGTTTTTATGTGTTCTGTGGTTGGTGTACAGGTAGTTTTAAACTCTGTTTATGTTTAAGTTTATTAGGGTGTAAAATTTTAATTAATGCTCGACATGATTAATCAGATTAATCATGGTGAATCGATTATTGAAATAATTGTCAACTGATTTAGTAATTGATTAATTGTTAACTGAAGACTGAAATTAAAGTCACTTGCTGAAAATTAAGTTAGAACTGTACTAAATATAAGTTTTGCATTTAAGATAAAAAATAATCACCTTTTTCTGTCAATATGTTTGGCATAAAATGTTTTATTTTTAAGAAATCAGTTTATTTATTTCCATTTTTTAATGAATTCCTATTATTGTACAAAAAAGGCTCACGAAGTTTAATGAATAATCTACAGAATTTTTTAGCTGATTAATCGATAGCTTGTCAAAATGAATGATTAATCGAAATGCGTACTTGAAAAATAAGTGTAAAAGTCTTTCTTTCTTCCTCTCTTTGTTCTGAATCAAAAATCGACTTTGAATTTAATTGTTGAGTCATAAATCAGAACTGAAAGATGGTAAGATATTCCCACAATTATTAGAAATTGCTAAAGTATCAAGAATAATTGATGGCTGAATGAATAAATAATGCCAACACACATTAAACGTGTTTTTAGTTAAACCAGAAAGTTATTTTCATCCAGATTAGTCTGATGAAACACTCGGACTGATTCGTTATTGTCGGGACAAGCGGGTCTGATTTCTGCGCATCACGAGGAAACTATTGGGTCTGCCAACACATCAGGATGCCCTCTCTGCGTAAAGTTTGGCCCCAAATCGAGTTTTGCAGGAATTCTCCTTCCTCCTGAGCGAACTCGAGCTCAAAGCCGTCGGCGGAGCGGTCGGCGCTCCACCTCAGCTGCTGCGGGCGCGTTGTTGACAAAAAGCGAAGCAGGGTTAGGGAAAGTAGGTCACTGGACAGGACAGATTTTAGCTGCATACTTGAATATGTGCAAATATGAACCTGTGAAAATGCAGTGAAGTTTTAATCTGTTTGTGTTCACATCCCCATTGTGCAGCGGTGTTTTCCTTTAAGCTTGGGTACATATTGTCCTTCGTCTCCCCATGTGTGTCCTTATGTGAATACACCGCTGTCTCTCTGTGTGTGTGTGTGTGTGTGTGTGTGTGTGTGTGTGTGTGTGTGTGTGTGTGTGTGTGTGTGTGTGTGTGAGGTATTAGATTAATCTGCTGACAGGGATATTGCCTCTAAAGCCAGGCTCACTGCTTCGACATGCTAATGAAATGGGCAGGCCTCCACAGCAGGATCACACACAGAGGTCAGCGGTGGGAAACAAACGGCAGTCGTAGATCAAACCGATCAGATTTATACGGTGGACATTTTTCCCCTCGGATGTTTCACGTTGTTGTTTATGATGCGTTTAATAAAATCAACTGCGTGGAAGAAGAAACTAAGCAAATCTAGTTGTCTTCTTCTAGAGTTTGGCACCTATTGTTATTGACTCAGTTTGATAAATGAAGCACATTTCTCATAATCAATATTTTATAGTACATTTAATTATGTTTAATTATATTTAATTATTTGATTAATTTTGTCCCTTTTGGGCCTAAATACATATTTCATCACTCTGAAATAATTTTATCTGTCAAACTGAAACATAAAAGTCGAGTGTTGGGGCCAAAACTGGATCCACTGAACTCCACTTAGTTTCAATTCTCTGAAAATCATGCTAAAATAAATTACTGAACCAATTAAATGCTTATTTATCTTATGGTACATTTAATTAATGATTTAATTATGTAGTTGGTTAATTTTATCCCTTTTGACCTCCATACCTACAGTTTCACCAGGAAATAATTTGATCTGTCAAATCCACCAATCACAGTCGAGGGATGGGGCTAACACTGATCTGTTAAACTCCACTAGATTAGCCTCAATTCTTTGAAGATCATGTCTAAATAAATTGTTTTAGGCATTTATTTATGTCATGGTACATTTAATTAATTAATGATTTTCTAACAATATATCAAGTGTTGTCTCTTTTGGTCTTCCATACCTGCAGCATCACCATGAAATAATTTTATCTCTCAAACTCACAAAGTCAAAAGACCGAGGGTACACTGATCCTCAGGCTTTAAAAATCCTGCTTAAATAAATTATTTAAACATTTAATTAAACATTTATTTCAATGGCACATTTAATTAACAACTTAATAATGTATTTATTTAATTTAGTCCCTTTCAGATCTTTACTGACTTCACCAAACTAATTTATTTGACTGGCCGGTTGCTCACATTTGGGTTTTATAGTCATTTCTACCAAAAGTAAAATTTTCCAAGCAGTTAGAGGAAAATTTTGTGTATAATCAGACCAGTATGAAGTCACACCATGAACTGGAGTCCACATCATCCATGTGACCTCTGACGATGGTGACTTGCCCCGACATGTTCTTTCTGTCGCTGTTAAACCACTTTATCCACCGCTGATGTCTTCTTATTAAGGAGTCATCCAGAATTTGATCTTCTTAGTGTCTTTTTTTGCACTTTAATGCATTTTATGGGCTCCGCTACGTCTCTGGAGAAAACCGTTTTATTTTAGCTGAAAACTTTCCCAGAGTTCGCCACAAGTCCGGGCTACAATGCTCAATTGTAATCTGAGCTGATGAAGTCACAGCCCAATAAGTAATTAAAAGATTTCAGGGACAAACTCTGTTTGCAATTGTGGCGTAATGTGAGGGAGCAGAAAGGAACAAAAGCAGAGGATGTTTTTCTTGCCAAAGTGGCTGAAATCCTGGCTCAGACCCAGAGAGCCGATAATATGCTGAGACAATGAGATTATGAAATCATGCAGCAAGTTTGTGGAACATAACCTTCAGGTTTAACATTCTTAAAGATCAATACATTTTATATTCTAATAAACATTTCCCCCTGGAACTGGAAGACATTTTAAATATCCAAAATAAATAAACAAAACAACAGAAACAACAAATAAAACTAGTAATGAAGTCTATGGAAACAGAATTATCCTTCAAAATCAGGACTGAAGACATTTATCATCCAGTTTTTGGTAGAAAAAGAGAAAAAAACGATAAACCATGCAAATGGAAATTTTTGGGTTCGTTTTAATTTTCCATGCAATTAATTGATTTATTGCTTATTGTGTCAGGCCTAACGATCATAATTCAGGGTTACTCACCAGGCAGTCTGTTCATGTTGACTCCCTGTGCAGACAGGCCGATGCCCATGTACCTGAAAACAGGAAGAGGGATTTTACTAATTCATCAGCAGAGCCAGAGCAGCTTGTTCCTGCCGCATTTTAACCGGAAAACATTTCAGAAAAGATTCATCAGGAACGTTGAACAGTGGCGTCTTTGGGCTGCTCATATTTGCTGCCTCCATGGGAGACAACGAACATGAAAAGTGGAGGCGCTCGCGGTGGAGACGCCTCAGAAAGGGGCTGTTGGCGTTCTCACAGCAGGACCTGGGGAAAGTTCTTTGCTCAGTGAAACCAGTCACAGACTGCGTTGCATCTGGCACACGCTGAGGTCATCACTTCCTGAGATAAATATCTGCATGAAGAAGAAGGTTTGTTCTGCAACTGAGTCAATGAATCTGCAGATCCAGAGGAGGGTGGAAGGAGGACGACTTCAGATAAACTCAGAGAAGTCAAGAGCCATGTTGTGGTAAATTCAACAATCTGTACAAAGAATATTTAGCTCTGTGATGACTTCTTATTCAACACAAGCAGCTGTGGAAGTAGTTTTTTATTACACAGATAAATTAATAACACCATGAAAATAAAATCTAAATATTTGTAGAATAAAGGCAGAATGTTACCAGAGATAACATTTCATTTACAGACAGCGGGTTTTTTGTGTCAGAGGTATCATAAAATTACTACTTAATTCTCCTACTGTTATGACTTTATCCTCATATTATTACTACTTTATTCTCATAATACTAATTTATGTCACATTAGAAGCATTTTCATAATGTTACTTTTACTGTACAACTTTTTTCTTGTATTAAGACTTTATTCATAACACTTTTTCATGTTAATAGGACTTTATTCATGTAATTTTATGACTTTATTCTCATAATTTATTTATTTTTCTTACCCTGGACCTCATACTCTATTGTAGGGGGGCCATATAGGTGCTGCCCAAAAAACACATCAGTGACGATTTTCCCTCATTTGCTACATTCTCCAAATGACTGAAGAACCTGAATAACAGAATAAACAAATATGTATGTCGTTCAACTCAGATGCCAATTTATTCAATAATTTAGCAGCAAAAAGGGTTTTTAAATTTTAAAAAATCCTTATTTTGTTGATGAAAATGTGATTAATGTTGATTAATTAGATACGCGGCATTAAACTCCAGTAAAAATTTAATTGCATCCCATCAGTCTTTAACTTTAAAAACTGAAAACAGGAATTCAAGGGGAGAAAATGTCTGATTATACAAACATGGGGAATAAAGGTGGTTTAAAAACAAATATACTGATAAATTCTGCACAGATGTTTTCATCACTATTTGAACAGTTCAGAGAGATAAGGATTACTTTTACAAAAAGGCAAAAGTTTTTCCTTTTTGGAAAAAGCAACAGGCCTAAAACCCACAAATATTAAATATTTCATTATGTGTCTGCAGCGCAGACCGGTCTCCTGCCCAGCTGACCCAGATGTGCGTTACTCTCCGTACATAACTGGGTCAGCCTCCACATTATGATGATTCTGGTTCTGTTGGGAAGAAGCTTTGGATTTTCAGTTAACATGGACTCTCCAGTGACAGATTTGTCCCGTCGGATTTGATGAGGAAGAGATTATGGCTAAATCTGCCAACTTTTGGGTTGTCCTATTTTCACTTCAACTGTAGACAATGTAAAGGTTAAATTTCTGCTAAAAAGACAAGCAAAGACAACGAACCCACCAGACTGCAAGGACTGGCTTTTTTTGTTGTTGCTGCTGTTTTAAAGCTGGAAAATAAATATGGTGGATAACTACAGCTAGACTAAGATCTTTTTTTAAATTACGAGAATAAAGCCGTAAAAATTTTTCTCGTATTACAACTTTTTTCTCATTTTATTACGACTTTATCGTATTATTGCAACTTTTTTCTCCTTGAATAACCACTTTTTCTCTTTCTCACATTTTTACGACTTGTTACTTGTAATATGAGTTTATTCTCACATATTCTGCCTTTTTTTCATACTATTGCAACTTTATTATCGTATTATTTTGACTTTACTCTGGAATTATGAGTTTATTTAAGTATTGCAAATTAATTCTCATATTATTTTTGACTTACTATTTCATGACTTTATTCTCATAATATTATGATTTCGTTCTTGCACAACTTTTTTCTTGCAATATTATTACGTTTTCTCATAATATTATAACCTTATTCTCTTAATTTAATTATTTTCTTAGCATGGCCCTAATATTCTTTCATTAAAATTATTGGAGGACATATTTGTGAACAAACACTCAGCCATCACACCATCAGCAGTGGACGTAAAAAACAGAGTTGAGGAGTAAAAACTAAAAATGCACCGATCTAAAAATTTGGGCCGATATCAATGTCCAATCTTAATTTAGCTCTTATGGCAGTTTACCGGTATTTACTGATATTTTAATAACGTTTTGATAACCGTATATAAACCACCACAACGCTGTGATTGCTTCTCTCACTGTCACATGACCAAGCTCCTCTCTCACCCTGCCTTTGATTAAAACCAGCTGTAACATTGATTGATATACTCATCAATATATGAGATAAAGTGAAGATGCCCACCATCTTTATTTGGTCTGTAAAAAAAATTCCTCCACAACAGGAACCATCCAGTGGTAACTCAGGACAGAAGTTTGTTTGTTTCTGCTTACCCGTCTCGACCTTTACTGACAATCTTCACTTCGAAGTAGTAAATCCCGCAGGCGGCGGGGATCGGGTGAGTGGCTCGCACTGACGCTGCATCCTTATGGTTCTTTCCATGGCCTGCAAGACACAAAAATAATTATTAGCTATATGCAGAAACACGTTTTTGAAGGCAAAAAAAATATAATTATTCAATAAGCGGGGGACAAATAAGCCTCAATCTGTTTATATAAATATGTTCTACCTTAGCTTTAATCATAATGTTTCCATTTACACCTGAGCTAAAGCCGACAGTCAAGCATGATGTTTTTTAACTTTTTCAGGACTTCCACAACAATTAATCAAGACAAATTATTATAATAAAGTCTGGCTCAATTGAACAAATACATAAATAAACGAGGAATAGCTACAAGTTTTGTGTCAATGGGTTAAAAGGGAATAATTTACACTGTAAAAAAATATTTTAAATAATGTAAAAAAAAAGCACCAATATGTCAATAATTTAATATGCAAATAATCAAAAATCTTGAAACTGTAAATGTGTTAAATCTTTTCAAACCAGACTGCCTGTTCCATGACCTCTTAAACCAAAGTGTGTTATTAGAACATGTCTGTGCATGTGAGCAGCATGCCCAGGCATGTTCGCGCTGTGTGTTAGCCGATGATTGTCCAATCCTATATTTGCACCAATATCCATTTGGTCTATTTATAGGAAGCCGACACATCTTGTCGCAGCAGCTCGGATGAAACAAAATGCCAAAGTTTGTTTTTTAAAATTCAGATGCTGGAAAACGTGATGAGGAGTCAAACTGTGAAATAACGAGCTCCCCTTTGCTGCTACCGGAGCCCATTATGTTGGAGAAATAACTACAACAAACACTAGGTGCATCAGAAACATCCACTCCTTCACCAAAGGTCAGAGTTCAAGAGGTCAAAGTCTGAAACAACATCATGCTTACTAAAATATTTGTGTTCACGCCTGAGGTTCCATCTTTGGCTACCAGCTGTGTGAAAGAGCAAAATCTATCAGCTCAATAAGGAAAAGTACAGCATGATGGAGTGTTGCCCTCTGCCTGAGCAGCAGAGGAGCGAACAACATCCTCAGGAAGGCGCCAGAGGAGACATTTACAAAGTGACAGAAAATATAACCCTGATATGGACGGGAACATAAAAATCACACAAGGCTGCGTTTAAAGTTTTAAGCTATTCCTATTTGTTTAAGCTGACTCCATGAACAACACCAAAATATGTCCCAGTTTGACAGAAAGAAAATATGACTTTAGGTCCAACCCATAGAGGACGGGTGTCCAAACTTTTTCCCATGGAGGCCATAATGCAGTGGTGGGAGCTGTTAACTATAAAGCTAGTTGCTCTAAGCCTAACAAACTAATCAAACGTTGGATCTGATAACACTAAAATGCTATACCAACATGGTGCTTAGCAGGAGCTAATGCTAACATGCTAAATTCAACCATGTTCTTACCCTCCATGCGTCAATGACATAACATGTTGCAACATAGTATATCGCCCCCAACAGGGTAAATTTGTCATTTCTCACGAGAAGGCAATTATTAGTCAGTTATTAATGTGCAGAATGCAACTAAATGGAAAATAGAAAAGCAGTCATTTTACTTGTTTATTTGTATCTCTTAAAGTAAGAAGAACATGCTAACAACTTTTCACAGATTCCCAGATTGTTGAGAAAGGTGAACTGTTTTCCTTTTGGGGATACTGTGTGAATCAGCCAGCGGATCTAGACTTCATGTAATGGATGGACGGGAGGAGTTAAATAGTTGCAGTCCAGAAAGAAAAACTGGGTTAGCAGAGGCTAAATTTCACTCATGTGTTCTTGCTTGAACCCATCATCATGTGAACCAAACCATAGATCATCAGCGTCATTACCAGGGATGTTCAGACGCTCTAGGATAACTTCCCACTATGTTCATCTCATCTTTATCTTGTTTAATGGGTCTTGAGCTCTGGGGACCCACTAAGTTACTAGGCCAAGTAAAAAAAAGCTGCATTAGGGTGATGATGCTCAATGCTGTAAATACGCAGCAGCAGATTGCAACACAACTGCTGCCACAAGCTTTTTCCAACCCCTACTGACTGCTGCAACCTGCAGCAATCTGCCAACTCTCATTTCATCCCCTATACGGAAGGTCAACAGAATGAAACATAAGAAGGGAAGATTTTATGAGGCGTTTGTGGACAACGTATCTGCAAGTTTCAAAAAGTCAAATTTAAGACATGTTCAGACCTTTTTAGTGCCACCTTGAATGAAATTTAAGACAGAAAAACCATATAGCAATCCTGCAGTATTACAAACAAGCTTTGTGTTTCTCACACAGCATTTGGCCTTAACATCCATAGTGCCAGGTTTAAAGGGTTTTCTTTTTTACCCGGAATGCACCTAGCATCTAATGGATTGGCAAGAGAAGTGAGCCAGTAGCAATAGATTTGCACTTACTCATGACACTTGCAAGAAAGCTAGCTAGCAACAGTGAATTAGCAGCTAATTAGCGCTAACCTCAACCGCCTTGACTGTGACTGAAACTGACAGAAAAGTCCCACAACACAAAAAGAAAATACATATACGAGAATACGACATCAAGTATACCTGTCGCGACACAACAGCCTGAAATGACACATAAAGACAGTTACAAAGTCAGCCTTCTATCACCTGAAGAACAATACCAGGATTAAAAGACCAACAAGATCTTGATTAAAATCTTCCATGCATTTATCTTTAGTTGCACTGATTACTGCAACAGTGTCTTCACATGTCTGCCTAAAACGTCAGACAGCTGCAGCTGATCCAGAGCACTGCTGCTCAGAGAATAAACTTTGAAATTCTTCTGTTAATTCATAAATCACTGAGTGGCTAAGCAAAAACATACAGTAAAGGTCTGTTTTTTGTTATATTTACTGGTTTTTAAGACATTGTTACATTTTTCTTGACTTTCCACTGAACATGAATGCTTGTGCACAGTGAGTCTAGGTAGAGAGTTTGTGTGGCCTTGAAGGGAGAAAATTGGCACACCGGTCAAAATAGCATCCAAACCACCAGGGTGAGGTAACAGAGCAGGAGCTGGAGGAACCAGGCGGAGAGAAAATATCCTGCACAGGCCAGAAAAAGACTCATTTATATGTCATCCATTAACAAATGTGCAGTGTCACCTAATCTCTACACTCCTCGCAGACAAAAAGTCTCAATGGCCTACATACGCCCAACATGAAGTGGCATAATTTATCTTTAACCGCAGATCCCTTTGTCATGTGCACATACTTCAGGACACATTATATCCTATAAAAATACACGGTGATGCACAATCTATTCAGTTAATCAGCAGTAGGCCCATTAATTATTCATTAATTGATCAGAGGGGTCTATCCGGCCATCTGCCGGGGAAATTCTTCATTTCAACAGCTGATATTTCTCAGAAAAGCTTTTGGAAAGAGCTTAGATATATATTCTCCTAACCTCTGCAAAGAGCAACCAGGTTCAACAGAACTGACTGAAGCTGTACATCAGGATTACTTTTAATTGATACAAAAATAATTATATGAATATTTGTTCTCACAAGCTACAAAATCTTACAGTCAGTCTATATTTTACAATAAGAAGGACTAAAATTATTATTTTTCTAAAATACACCCACAGACAAAATTAACTGATGCCTCAAAAGGAATGGCCTGATTTGGGTAATGGAATATATAAATTATTGAATTTAACCAAACTAAAGTTTGTTTACATAGAAAGTCTGGTTTGTTTGGGGAGGTGTGAATGTGTGACCGAACCAAATCAGCAAACTCTGGTCCGTCTACTAACCTCAGTCTCAGGTCGGCTGAAGTGAACTCTGGTGCGGTTCGAATACATATCTGAACGCCAAGCGGAGAAGGGACTGCTCCAAAAGCAGGAAGTGCACTACAGCACAGGGCATTCTGGGTAAATACAACCAAAACAAACACGCTAGCCAAGCACTGACAGGAGAAATGGCTTGTGGTCTTTTACCAAAGACAAAAGAGAAAAACTACACCGCTAAAATCTCATGTTTACATTTGCTGAAGAAAGAAGTTGTGCTCAGTGTTTTTGTCTTTTCCTTCAGTGGTTCTTGGTGCACAGTGCCCCCACAGGTGAGGAGGACCGCAGCAGCTTAAAATGTTGCAACTTTTGTCCCCAACCAAACCGGAGATTTTCAGTTATTTTGACTTTGAGAAATCCACTAGAAACTATTAAATATTTTTCAACTGGACATATTAGCTCAAGAAATGCACAAAATAAGCACAATTTGTACACGTAGCTTTATATTCTTATGCAACAAAATTCAAGTATGTTATGATCTACTATGGGTTTTTTTTTTTTAAATCCAACTATTTTGTTTTTGTAATTTTTGCTGCTGTATTTTGATTTGCTGGTTGTGATTGGATATTTTTCAACCTGATTGGACGAAAACAATGTCTCTGTGATTGGCTGGTGGTAGAATTTGTTTAAATACCTTTCCGAGTTGTGAACATAGATGTTGATTTAACTGAGATAAATCACAGTTTTTCGGTGATATTTCATTACCAACACCAAAGCTCAATTACTGATAGCTCTCAGAATCAAATAGAATCTCTTTAATAGACTCTGACAACTTGAAGCAGGCTAAAATCAGCAACACCGTCAAAAAGAAATAAAAAAAAAACGGTGAGAAACAAAATAACTGACGTCTACCAGTCTAGAAAGGAATTCAAATCCATTTCTAAGGTTTTAGAACCAGGAGCCACCAGTGGAGAAAACATGGAACAGTGGGGAATATCAACATTTGCTTGATGAACTGGAAAGTGTCACTGTGACAAAAATATGGAAACGAAAGAAATGTTGAAACTGAGAAAAAAGAAAAGCAATACTTGAAACTGAAAAATATATTTTGATCCAAAACAATAAAAAGACGACTACAAAAAAATTTAATGTAGAAAAGTTTGAACCTGAAATTTTTTGTAAAATATTTAAAAATGTATCTTTAAAAATTGAGATATTTTAAAAAAATGTTTTTAATAACTAGGAAAAGTTGAAAATTATTATAATTATTTTCTTTTTAACAAAAAAAATTGCAACTGGAAAAGAGGAAGATTTGACACTGAAATCTAATATCTCATTTGAAAAAAAAGATTTCAACCTTGAAAAGAATTTAAAGGTTGAAGTTTTACCTTATCAATAAGGTAAAACTTAATGTTAAGTTTTACCTTATCATTTTAAAATGATAAGTTGAATATCATTTTAAAATTTCGGCCCTGTCTGTATGGGTTGGGCTCTCAGACCACAGGGTATTGTGGAATTAGAGCAAAAATATTGCTGATCAAAAATTGAGAATCTTATCAAGACATTTCCAGTTCCCACTAGCTGCATTTCCACTAACTGTAAAATTGCACAAACTGGAATTACAAAAATAAATTTGCTCAATAGAACCATGTTAATTTTGAAAAAAACACAATTTTGATACATTCTGGTAGGACAAGGTGGTTTTTCGGTTGTATCAAAGTACACACATTTCACAGAAGTGCAATGGAAACACACAAATCGTGATCATCAACCGGATGTTACTACTGGTAGAAAAGATGAAAAAGACGACAGGAAGTGGTAGGAAGATGATGGTGCGGTATGTTTTTTAATGAGTTATGGCGTGAACAAACATATTCACATGTGATTTTAATTGCATTTCTCATTTAACAGAAACACCAGAATTGCAAAATTGTGTTTTTTGAACATTAGTAGAATATCGACAAAGTTTTGCGCACGGCAAACAAGCCCAGAAGTTTGAACACTGAAAAATATGAAACTATATATATTAAAAAAAATCTTTTTTGTTTTTTTCCAGACTTAATGGCATCAATTTAGCTCCATCCATGCAAAAAAAAAAAAAAAAAAAAAAAAAAAATAATTAAAGGGGATATTTTTTTAAAGAAACAGAAACATTTAAAC